TTTTAAAATTATTGATAAAGATAACATAGCTTGAAGTAAAATAAACAAGTTTAAATTGTATTTAGACTCAAATAAACTTGAAATCTATAAAAAAAAAAAATTGTCAAGAGAGTATTCTCTAAATAAGTCCGAAAGTCTATTCATCAGAAACTAACATGGCAGTAAGTCTTACATAAACTTATATAGTTGAATAGCAAAACCTAGTGAAAAAGGAAAAAAAATAAAAATCTAATTAATTCGAAAACTGTTAACACGAAAACAATAAACTAACGGAATACGTCCAAGGTTCCGACACCTGTTGTGAGGTGTTAGAAGTTTGCATACATCTGCCCCCAAAACACGCGGAAGAATGAAGCCCAAGGTTCCAACGCCGATTGCGAGGTGTTGGACCCTCGGAAGGTTTTGTAGCCATCCTCTTATCTTCACCTTACGATCGCCCCAATAATCCCTAAGTTCTTCCAAAAATGATGTTAATGTCAAACGAGAAATCCTTTAATAAGGGATTGTCTCATCTTTAAGGTTACACATGATTTTACAGTTTAACACGAATTATATTGTAAAAGTGCATTTTTATATATGTGAGAGGGTTCAAAAGCTCATATAGTAAAACTGTTAAAATCATATAAAATTTTTAAATAATTAATTGTAATATTTTAAAATATTAATATAAATTAATTTTAATTTTCAAATAATAAATATAAATTATTTTATTATTTATTAATTAAAAAATATCATTATTAAAAAAATTTATCGACCTAATAACCTAACAGTTTAATGTAAATTTTTTTTACCATAACAAGTGTTCGATCTCGATTCTTCTCCCTCCTCACTTCTCTCGAACCACTTACTTTAATAAAATAAAATTAAAAAAATTAAAATGATTATTTTAATAGAAAATATTTAGACACTTGAATCGCCAAACAGTTTGTATATATATATTTAATAATTTGTTATTTGGTTATAACAAAGTCTGTATTAAAAAAAAAAAGAAAAGAAAAAAGAAAATCATGATATTGGATTCGTAACGTGAGATGTCTAATCATTTTTCTGCTGATGTGTCGAATTTTAAGTGGATAACGAGAAACTGGTGCATGGATTTAACTGTACGAGATCTGGAACGAGACTGTCCTTGACTAGTTAGCTTCCAACTGTCAAGTTCGTCATTCAAGGGCAGTTTGGGAAACAAAAAAGGTCGGTCTTTATAGCGACCGTGACACCTCGCCAATCTTTCAAAACTAGAGAGGAAAAAGTTTTCGTATATTTTTCGGTAGGCAGAAAATGGACCCGGATGCGTTTACTGGGAGTTTCTTCAAGTGGGATCCACGAGCAGTGGTGGCGCCGACGCCGGCGCGGCTGATGGATGCGGTAGCGCCACAAGCACAGGCCGCGGCTATTGTGTCCGCTTACGCTTCGAGACCGAGGGAGCTGGGGGGAATAGAGGAGTTGTTTCAGGCGTATGGGATAAGGTACTACACTGCAGCGAAAATAGCAGAGCTAGGGTTTACTGTGAGTACCCTGTTGGGGATGAAGGAGGAGGAGCTGGATGAGATGATGAATAGCGTGTCGCATATATTCAGGTGGGAGCTGTTGGTCGGTGAGAGATATGGTATTAAGGCTGCTGTTAGAGCGGAGAGACGGAGGCTCGAGGAGGAGGATTTGCGCCGTCGACACTTGGCAGGTGACACCACCAACGCTCTTGATGCGCTCTCTCAAGAAGGTTTGTTATTGTTCGAATAGATGCCTTCACATGATATCAAAAATCAATATTATTTTAGCTTATATTTCATGTGCTTACCATATATATATATGTAAGTGCAATTTTTTTTTTTTTTATGGTTTGTTGGGAGTGTGACTTTGGTTGACAGGGTTATCAGAGGAGCCGGTGCAGCAAGAGAAGGAAGCAGCGGGGAGCGGAGGAGGGGGAACATGGGAAGTGGCGGCAGCTGGTGGGAGGAAGAAGCAGCGGCGAAAAAAGGGGCAGAAGAAGGTAGTGGAAGTCGACCAAGACGACGAAAATGACGGTGCTGATGATGATGAAAATGGTGATGGCATCTACGAGAGGCAGCGTGAGCATCCCTTTATCGTCACAGAGCCTGGGGAGGTGGCGCGCGGCAAAAAGAACGGCCTTGATTACCTCTTCCACCTCTATGAGCAGTGCCGCGACTTCTTGATCCAAGTCCAAAACATTGCCAAGGAGCGCGGTGAAAAATGCCCAACAAAGGTAATTAAATGAACACCCCCCTATTCAATCTTAACCCTTCATCTCAATATTTTGACGGCTCGCATGCATTCCACTTGCTAGGGATAAATGTTCTTTGAGTGCTTAATCGTTAGAGTAACTTGTAGAGTTTTCCTCAACTTTTGAAACAGAGCAATTAGGCCCGTAGATTTTTTGTTTTTTGACTAACGGAATTTAGATTTCTGGGTGGGTGTTTGGTCCATTACATTGGCTCAGAATTGGTCCAATTATACCGTCCCGATAAAGGTAAAAGGATAGAGCCAGCTGTTCCGAAGGGAACATGATAACTCAAGTACAGACAAGTGGGTCAAGATTTTGCACTTTGTCATGGTACTACTTTGTTTCCGTACGATGAGGTGGCATGTCTTCCATCTAACACTTAATTTTTTTTTTTTTAAAGAATAATTTTAAATTACTTTCACAGGTAACGAACCAAGTTTTTAGGTACGCAAAGAGGGCCGGAGCGAGCTACATAAACAAGCCGAAGATGCGCCATTACGTGCACTGCTACGCGCTGCACTGTCTGGACGAGGAGGCGTCGAATGCTCTGCGGCGGGCGTTTAAGGAGAGAGGGGAGAATGTGGGGGCGTGGAGGCAGGCGTGCTATAAGCCACTCGTGGCCATAGCAGCTCGACAAGGATGGGACATTGATGCCATTTTTAATGCACATCCTCGCCTAGCCATTTGGTATGTACCCACCAAGCTTAGGCAGCTCTGCCATGCTGAGCGTAACAGTGCTGCTGCTGCAGCTTCAAGTTCAGTCACTGGTGGCGGCGGGGAGCACCTGCCGTTCTAGCCAGAGATTTGATCATGCTCTGCTCGCGGTTTGCTTGTAGTTGGGGAGAGAAAAACTAGGTAAGAGGTGAGGTTGTACCGAGTAGTGTTTTATATAATGTACGGATTATTTGGTATGTATAAGTTAACGTGGGAGATCTTAATTAATCAAAGAGCTCGTTCCATATATATAGCATTAATTAACTCTAATTAGCCTCATTGTTCACTCTTTAAGAATATGTTGGAGTCCTATGCAATTCTATTCAATCTTGCAGCCCAACAAAATGTAGGCAATCCATGCCAAGAATAATGATCCCAAGTTAAAAGAATACTTATTTTGTAACATATGAACATTGAACGGCAATTTTTTTTAAATGTTCCTTTTGTTGTGTGTGGTTAGTTTGATATATATGTCTTTTTATAATTGCTGTTCATATATCTATATTATATAAAAGCATAACTTAATAGTTATGTAACAAGCCAATTGCAACAACTAACAAGTAAAATAGAAAAATGCAAAGAATACCTATAAAATGATTTA